TCGATAACTGATCGATAACTGATCAGCTGGGTGTGTTGGGATTCCCTCTGGCTAACATTAGTTAGCATTAGCAGCCCGCTAACGTTAGCCACATTCCGGATGTAGCCGCCGAGCTAACGCTGTTAAAAACAACTTCACGTTGAATTTAAACATAAAAACATTATTAAAGTTTCCCTGCAGCGTTCCCGCCACAGAGCAGGAGAGCAGAGCCGAGCTGAGCCGAGCTGAGCGGCCTTACCTTCCTGCAGAGAGCCGCTGGCCGCCGGAGGAGTCCTCATCCAGCTGCTAACAGGAAGCTAACAGGGAGCTAACAGGAAGCTAACTGTTTGTGGCCGCTGCGGATAAAAGCAGTCGGACTGTAACATCGGTGTTCGGTGCCGACGGTAACGGAGCGCGTCCACTGGCACTACCGGAGCGCGTCCACCGGGCGCTGTCTGCGGACTGAAGCGGGCTTTGGACGCATCGATCCGGATGTTTCAGTAGCTGCCGACGCCGAACTGCTACTGCGTAACTAGCTAGCTGCTAGCTGCTCGCACACAGGCTATCAACAGAGCGCCGAGCTCAACCGATCGAACTCACCGAACCTCAGAGCTCCGTTCTCCAACAAACACACGATCATGATCTGATCCAGTAGACTAATAACACAGATATTATCAGGGCGTTTATTAATGGTTCACGTCTTTTCACATTACCCTTCAGTTAATGCGAATGTGGGGAATAAAGAGGCTGCTCGTGCATCGATTACAAAGCCTGTAAATGGTCGCTCTATCAGTCTGAGCTGTTTTATGATTTTATTAAAGAAATAAGACTCTTCAATATGGAAGCTCATTTCTGCATTTAGCATCTCAAAATAATGAATTCTTAAAGTGATTTTGAGATATTAAATCAGAACATTAAGAAAGTTTCTCATTATTTTGATATAATAAGTCAATATTTTATTATAACGACTCAGAATCTCATTGGCAGAAATAAGCTTCCATACGTTAAAGATGTGAGCAAATTCATTCCAGTAATTATGAACTAAAAAATAAATAAACTTCCATAAAAAAAAGAAAATATAATGAACATGGTAATAATTATGGATTGATTGTATTTATGGACTCAGACAGGAAAAGAAACAACAACAGAAATCCGAAGGATAACAAAAGGATAACATCTTAAAGTCCAGAAATATAAAACACCAAATGTCATTCATCAATATTATTAATATTCATTCTTACTGTATTTAATAAGTCATTGTTTTGCTGTCCAACAATTTAATTATTTTAATAATAAATTATTTTTGTCGAGTTCGGAGAGAAAACAGAATATTTAATCTCAATAAAATCAATATTATCTGAATATAAAATTGATTCCTTATCAAAATGTAAAATGAACAAATACCAAATTAATGTAGTTAAACATATAGACTGTTTATTGATTATAGATTATTGATTGAATCAACTCCATATAGAGCAGAGCTCTAGAGAAATATACACATATATACATATATAATACACATTATAGATTTAATGGATGTAAAGTTATTATCCTGTAAAAGTGACACATTATATAGAAAGTGATAATAATAATAATAAAACCGTTGTGGGTTCAGTTCTTTGTTGTTTGGGGGCTGATCTGCATTATGTTGTTTACATCATTTATCAAATAGTTAGATAGACAGACAGACAGACAGACAGACAGACAGACAGATAGTTTACATTATTACATTTAAATGGTAGACAAACCTGGAAATACGACCCTCACTCTCTATACATAACTGTAGGGACGAATCATTGATTAAAAACAAATATTACTCTAGAAGGTGAACTTTTTTATTTTATAAAAAAATAAAAATAAATTACAACCCTGAAGTCTCTTCTTCTTCTCCTGTAACAGCGAGGGATGGAAAAATAAAGGAACAATCCAAATGAAAGAAGATCAGAGGGAGTTTATTACCTGATTGATTCTCTACACAGACACAGAGTCATCACAAGATCTACACAGGTTCAATACAACAACAACAACAACAACAATAATAATGTGTCAGTAAATCCACAGCAGTGCATATATGATTTAACAGCTAACATGTCGTCTTCTACAAACAGGCAGGAAACACAACACAGATGGTTGCTATGGAGACACACACATACACACACACACACACACACACACAGTAAAACCAGATAAGTTCATTTAACTCAAAACTTTTTGAAACTGATAGCACTGAACATTTTAAGTTGATCAAGTAACTTTAGTCATTTTAATTGACTCTGACTTCATTTTATAATTTATATTTGTACAGTGGAAACAAAATACAGAGTATAAACTACTTAATCAGGAATATTTCTTTGACTTTAACAAGTTAGTATCACTTAAAATAAAAGCTGCTTAATCAAGAATCTTTTTGAACTTGACAAAATTGACTTTGTGTTACTTTTTTTGCTGTGGTCGGTTTCAACATTTCTTTGGAGTTAAATAACTTATTTCTATACAGTGCACACACACACACACACTCACACAAACAACACACAAACTCACAACACAACATTACCACCACACAACACATCACACACACACACAAACTCACACACACTCAGAAGTTCTCCTTGTAGAACTTGAAGCCGAAGTGTTCACACTGAGCTTTGATGACTTTAGCCAGAGCCGGAGAGCCGCAGTAAAACACGTGAACTTTCCCTTTTTTCTCCTCAGACACTTTCTGAAACACCTGAAACACAAACACAGGTTTTATTATTATTAACGTTAGCAAAGCTCTGATCAACCAAACTCCATTCAGAAAACAAGCAATTTCATAATTGTTAGCTATTCAGACTTTTTATACATCACCATCATGATGTTGTTATTTCAGCATCATATTGATCCGTTTATTGACATTAAATCAGTGTTTATTGGGCTCAAACTGCCGCAGTTAGACAGGTTAAAGGGCGAATATTCGCCTCACGTTTGGTGGGAAGGCATTATTATTCTTAATATCTGCCACCGGGTCAGATTCCTATTGGAAATCCCAGAAACGAGGCAGTAGAAACAATACTGCGTTTGTCCACAGTGGGCAACACCAGCAAACATGACATGTTTTGGTTCTTCTGCGGGATTTATACAAAGTGGTTCTAATGATATTTTTAATTTTATTTGAATAAACACAAACTGGAGTAAAGCTGAAGCAATATATTGATTGATTGAAAATGAAGTCTTTTATCAAATAAAAATACCAAACACAGTTTTGACCAAATGTTGGTTGAATTTCCTGATATTTTATCGGTTAAAGGATTAATTAATCAAAAATATTCCTATATGAATTAATAATGAAAATAAATAGATGTTTTTTGATATTATTGTCCTCACCTTCCCCCACTCAGGCCGTCCAGGCTGGGTCCTGGTCCTCAGTCCTGTGATGGAGTCTCTCTTTTCCTTCTTGGCCAGCAGGTCCAGCGCCATCTGCAGGCCGATGGCCTTCATGTCGTTCTTACTGAGAGCCGATGTCATGTACATGTGCATCTCCAGGAACCGACCTGAGACAGCAGCAGAGCCTCATTAGACCTCTTATTTGTCTCTCTCCACCTGTCTGTCTCTCTGTCTGTCTGTCTCTCTCCACCTGTCTGTCTCTCTGTCTCACTGCTTTCTCACTCACCTTCTGGCTCTTCGTCGGCCTGGTCCATCTCCAGGTTGGTGAGTAAACTGACAAACCATTCAAAGGACTTCTGGTCTCTGTTGATCCAGATGAAGTCCACCTGCAGGACACATCTTTATTAAACTACATCCTGATGTGTGTGCAGTGAAACAACTCATCCTCTGTGGGGTTTTCTTACTTTGCGTAACTTCATGTCGCTGTCTTTAATGTTCTCACACCACGAGTAGTTACAGTTGGGACAGTTCTGCTTCCTCCTGCGGTATCTGGATCACAGAAAGATACATATAAATTCTTTTATCGGCCTACAATGACAGAATTTCAGTCTTGGTATTATTTTTGGATCTCAGTGACACATTCGACCACAATCAGCTAGCCACTATATCCTGTTAAATTATCAGATTTAAATGTCAGTAAATGCGTTGGGATGCTACTGAAAACAATTTGGACAATAACAATTGTGGGGCCTCTTCCGTCCACTTACGTTGTGACTATTGTAGCTCTTTCACAAATATTTTCTCATCAAACTCTGTGAATTAAGAATGTTGATTGTACTTTTTATTACACATCTGAGCGGACAAAAATAACCTGTGGAGTTCCCCAAGGATCCATTCTGGGGCCTCTTTCATTCAACATCTACATGCTCCCTCTAGCTCCAATAATGGAAAACTAATACAAAATATGTACCATTATGCAGACGACACACACATTTACATGCAAATTTACAATTGTGTTTAAATGTCATTTTATATTGCTGGATTTTGCCTTTACATTTTGTTTTGATGTCTTTTATGTTTTATGTAAAGCACTTTGAATTGCCTTGTTGTTACTCTACTCTACCTCTGACCTATGCGTCTGACCCCCGGCATATTGAGAGACAGAAGCTGTGTAGTGTTGATGTATTTCAACCATACCATGCAGCAGAGAGCTCAGGAAAAAGCTTTAGGTGCTCCTTGAGTTGGGTTGTTGTAAAAAAAGAACTGATGCTCTATTCAGCCCTCCTCTACTCATCTGAAGCATGCTGGGAGATGTAGTTTCTCTTTTGGAGGAAGGAGGCTGTTGGATGCTGTACTGGTACTGTACTAGGAACCAGGATGTGACCAGGTATCATCAGAGTCTAGGAGCTCACCTTTCCATGATGCTTTGCAGGATGGAGGCAAACGGTGTAATGCCGATACCAGCCCCGATCAGGACAGCGTGTTCAGACGCAAAGATCTGTCTCGTAGGAGTCCCATATGGTCCGTCTACATAGCACTGACACACAACATC